GCAGTACACTCATCCCTTAATTGATAGACAGATATCTCGCCTTCGCCATAGGTGACGTAAGTTGGTAAACGTCAATCGAGCTTTTCGAATCCGTGTAGAGATTTCGTCAGGCACGAACCCATTAGGGCTGATCAGGCTTCCAAGATATGTAAAGTTGTTTACGTGTTCGACTACTTCACTCCCTGTCCTCAGTTCAGGTGTTGACGCAGGCCAGTCCTGAAACAACAACTTGCATTTAGAGGGGGAGAAGCGCATCCCAAACATCCTGGTATTGTTGCTCAGTGCTACCAACAAATACTGCATTTTATCAGTGTCTTCACCAAACAGGACTATATCATCTGCGCATTCTAAGTCGATAAGTGGACCTCTTGGTAGGAGATCAATGCCCGAAAACTCAGTCGATGAGGGCATTATTTCCATCAGTATGTCTATGACGAAGCTAAACAAAAATGGCGAAAGTGGACAGCCTTGCCAGACACCACTTGAGGTTGCAAAAGCAGATGACAGTTCGCTGTAAGCTCTCACTCGAGTAAAGAGCCTTCACAAGGTTTATGTACTTCTGAGGTACGCCTTTCAATGACACACTGCCACAGAATCTCTCGGTCCACGGAGTCAAGTGCTGCTTTTAAATTAAGGAAAACTATCATTGTCGGACGCCGATAAGCGTGTCTGAGTTCTAAAACCTGACGAATAGTGAATACGTGGTCGATGTAGCCACGACCACGTTTGAAGCCAACCAGATTTTCTCGTGTTTGAAGTTCACGAGTCTTTGTTAATCGTCCGACAATTATTGAGGCTAGTATTTTGGATGGTGTATTAGTCAAACTGATCTCCCTATGGTTATCACAGGATGATTTGGACCGCTTCTTATATATTGGGACAATCAGTGACTGCGACCAGTTAGATGGAATTACATTCAGTTCCCAGAGTTAGGCTAAAATATTAATCAACCTAATCGCTAAAACTGGATCACCATCCTTAAACACCTCTGGAGCCAATCCATCCGGACCAGCTGCTCTTCCTCGTTTCAGATTAACTATATTTTTTGGACTTCCATCGGAGTCGGGAGCGGCTACTTCAATGTCTTGTCGTCTTTTTCCAAGATAGTCTCACACTTGACCTTTTAGTCCCAGTTTCTTCTATTAATCTGATGAGTTGTGTTGTGTTCCCCATAGCCGCCACCTTTTCCGTCTCTTGATTTCGATGCCCACCACTGCTCACGGTTGTTCCTTAGACTTTTGCTTAACCTAGATCTGATTTTCTTTCTTTCATCATCGTGTTCAGAGCCTGATGGGATGAGTTTACGAGAATCCATCAGTGCGAGGGACCTTGAAAGAATCCAATGGTTCTTTGTAACCCTTTTGTTTAAATCACTAATAGATATCACCGCTGTTTTCACAGCTGCTTGTATATCTTTCCAAGCAACATCTGGGTCAGCCTCATTTTCAGAACTACCTGAGTGTGACCTCAGTCGTTCCCGGAATCTACTTTCGGCTTTTTCGTCATTCAATTCAGTTGTAATGTGTCTTTTTGTGTGGCTTTTGTGAGTCCAGTGAGGCTTATTTATTTTATTTATTTATTTATTTGAACACATAAATGTTGGTACAAGAGAGCGCCAATATATATGCGCCACACAAAACAATGGGAATTCGAAGAGAAGTAGAAAGAAAAGAAAAAAAAACTAAGGAACGCAAAAGAAAAAGAGAGTAATGACGAAGAGGTACAATCAGAAGAAATCTTTCAGGTAAAGGAGACACAACCACTTTTTATGAAGAAAGTAAAAGAAGGTTACAGCAGGATCGCCACTGGCTTCTATTCTGAGCCATATCTGATAACGTCTCTAGCCACTGTGTTGCACCATCTCTCGGACCCCAACCAGGGAGTCGTGAAGGACCAACACAAGCCAGTCCTTTGCAGCTTTCTTTCATGCCACGACACCATGTCATGCACTGACCACCTCTCCGCTTCTTCCAACCAGTCCCAGAGTCGGCAAATAATGCACGACGTGGAATTCTCTGGGACGACATTCGGAGAACATGTCCAAGCCACCGAAGTCGGTGTTTCAAGATGGTGACACCAATTGAGTTATCATCTCTGTGCCCGAACACACGATGCCGAACCTCTGCATTACTGACATGGTGTTGCCACTGAATGTCAGCAATCCTTCGGAGACAGCGATGATCGAACACAGAGAGTCGTCTAACGTCCTCAACTCGGAGAGGCCAGGTTTCACAAGCATAGAGCAAAACTGCTCTCACCGACGCGTTGTAGATCCGGCCTTTTACAGCCAGACTAACATCACGAAGGCGCCAAAGGTGGCCCAGATTGGCATAAGCCGCTCTGGCTTTCACTATTCGTGCATTGATCTCATCACTCACACCCCCACCAGCACTTATGCAGCTACCCAGATACACGAACTTCTCAACTACGTCTATCTGCTCACCATCCAGGGTGAGTACAGGATTAGAATCCTGCCAGTCTTGTAGAAGTACTTTGCACTTCGAAGGTGCAAAGCACATACCATACCTACGGACATTGATTGCCAACTGATTAAGTGCGGATTGCATGCCTTGGGCATTATCGCACAGTAAGACAATATCGTCCGCATACTCAAGGTCGAGAAGTCTTTCTCCAGGCAACAGATCCACACCACCATTACTTACATTCATCAGAGCTGTTTCCAGAATGTCATCGATGGCAAAGTTGAAGAGGAATGGTGAGATTGGGCAATCCTGCCTAACCCCACTGCTCGAATGGAACAATGGAGAGAGGTGGTTGTATGCCCTCACTCTGCCTGAGGTGTTTGTATATAGGGCTTTTAGGATGTTAATAAACTTCTCAGGCACACCCTTCTTCAATAGACAATCCCAGAGAACAGTCCTATCCAACGAATCGAAGGCAGCCCTGATGTCAAGAAACACTACGATTGTTGGCCTTTGAAAAGTATGGCGGTGTTCTAACATTTGGCGGAGGGTGAAGATATGATCAATACATCCTCGACCAGAACGAAACCCAGCCTGCTCCTCGCGAGTCAATCTTTCTCGGGTTTTGAACAACCTACGAAGAATGACGGAAGCCAATAGCTTGGACGCAATCGGAAGTAAACTTATCCCCCGATAGTTGTTACAAGAACGACGTGAACCCTTTTTAAAGATAGGGACAACTATCGACTCATTCCATGACGTTGGTACACTCTCTAGATCCCAAACCTTTGTAAACAACGTCGTCAATTCCTTAGTCAAAAAGTCACCACCATCTTTAAAAAGAGCCGGAGGTAAGTCATCTGGGCCAGGTGATTTGTAACGCTTCAAGAGTTGGAGTTCCTTGCGGACTTCCTCCTCATTTGGTGGATCAGTCGTCACCGGCCATGGAGGGCAGGACAGTCTGACCGATGTTACCGGAGCAGCAGGCCAGTTGAACTGCCCTTCGAAAAATTCTGCCCATCGTCCAAGACGTCGATGGATGTTAGTGATTGGCATCCCATCATCCTCGCAGATTGTTTCACTCACACCAGACTTCTTGCTGCCAGTGGCTCGGATGAGTTGGAAGAGCTTCCGGTAGTTACCAGATGCAGCTGCTGCTTCCAGCTCATTAGCACGCATCGACCACCAGGCTTCTCGGTCCTTACGCAAATGATGAACTGTTTATGTCTATGGAAACTACTTTTGTCGCTTTGAAAAACAATCAATTGATTGTTTCCAGTGAGGCTCAAGCAAATGTGTGACCGAGATTCTAGAGTCACAGCCTAAGAGACCTGCTGACCGATTTGACATAGGTTGCATACTTTGAAGGCTCAAATATGTATTTTGGAGCGAGGTTTCAGTAGACCTGGGACAGTGTTTTGAGCACTAGAATCGTTGGCTATGATGACATTTGAGGAGGAATTCAAAAGAGGAACTTTAGTGCTGAAGGTCGCCGTAGGTAAAATAATAGGAACCGAAGGAAGACGTTGATTATGAATAAAGTCGTCTTGAGTGCTGTTAGATGTATGAGTGCGGTTATCACTTCCCGGTCGCCCACATCGTGCAAGGGTTCTTCTGGAGGTTCCTGGAAAGGAAATCGGATTAGAAGTGGTCTTAGTGACCTGAAAGCGTGACCGCAGTGCCCAAGAGACAACTGCTTGAGGCCAGCCACACGCGACCTTTTGTGAGTAGTTTTCGTGTTAGCTCCGTACTTGTTGAGACCTGGCAGTCGGGGACGGATATCCGTTGGATAAGGCGAGGTGTGCATTTTTAGGGTCGACCTTTACTAACCCCACCTCTCCTTGTGGGACGGCAGCACCTCTGTTATGCTGGTTGTCTGAAGGAATTACCTTACTGCCGTCGTATCTCTGTACAGTCAGCAGTACGACTTCGCCTTCAGACCTTGGGTTTGTTGCTTTTAGTCTTATCGCTCTTCAGCCGACCTGTTTGGCATGGTAGAATCTTGAAGAACGATTGTTCTCGTCAGTATAGTTCGATTGGTTCATCATGATAAGCAAGCCCGACCACCACGTCAAGGTATTAACAACCAGTATATTTTAAATGAATCGAGTGTAAAGCAGTTATGCAGTGAAGATGATGAACAATAGTTACACAGTTTCACGGATTGATCGAAGTTAGATATGAGAACCATTAGAAGCTAGTTCAGTGATCTAAAGGCAAGTTGCGAGATTTCTTCCTTGAATCTCTGGCGGAGTTGTGGATGCACAATGCTGAGTCACACTGCAGGAAGAAACACCTGTCCAGTGCCTCATTGTTTTTAATGGTTACACAACTTAGTTCGGTTCATGGTTTTAGTGTCAACTAAACTGGGAGTGAGACATAAGAAAAATAACAACATTTATTCAGTAATTTGATAAATATATTCAGACATAAAATAATCCTACCGTACAAAGCTGGCGTGTACTGAATGACTTCACTTCCAACTACCCAGCTTTTTGTACTTTTACTTTACAACATGGTTATTTCTCTATCATATCTGTTGATATGAAGAAACAGTACAAATAAAAACAGAGTTGGTCAAGATATATTACTGATATTTTATTGATTAAACTATAGCGAATTCGAGTATGTACATTATTTCATATTAACAGGTGACTCTCATCAGACGATGTACAATAAATACTATCCCATCGTTTAATCTACGCATTAACTTGTTCATTCACTTTTCTCTTTATTATGTATGTTCTGCTCTAATTTGTCAAACTGTTCTTTGGATACCGCATCTAATTCATCTTCAACTTGCTCGACGCCTAATACGTCTGGTATATAAAACTGAAGCATATTCTGTACACCATTTTTCAAAGTAACTACGGAACTAGGACAACTTGAGCAAGATCCTTGTAGTTTTAATCGCACTATACCATCTTTAAAATCCTGAAAAAAAAGATACAGTTTAGGAATTCATAGAAAAAAAAATAAGTACGGAAACACCTACCATCAGGAAAAATGAATTCCTTGCGATAAGTTAAGTGACCAACGCGTTCAACTACTTTGTTGACTATGGTCAGTCTAGGAGCTGATCCGGACCAGCTCTGAAGTCGTATTTTGTATTTATAAGGAGAGAAACGAACTACAAACTTGTTTGTATTGTTTTTAAAAGTGTTCATAAGACTGTAATTTGGTAGGGTTTTCACCAAAGTGAACCACGTCGTTCGGGCAAGTGGATTTCCTAATGTGACCATTTGAAACCGAATGAGGAGCCCTCTGGAACTTTACATATTTCTCTGATACACCTCATAGTGGGAAGTATTACAAAAAAACCAACCGACCCCCGAACTCGAGTCCCAACTTTAAGTGGGAGAATATGATTGAAATCTGTGGTCAGTATATGTTTCCGTGTTGTAAAACGTAATGAAGGCTAAAAATTTGCACAACACATCAACAACCACATCTAAGCCTGTTTTTTGAAATTTGCAGTGTTCCTTGCTCCATTTAAACGTTGAATGATTATAAAGGCTAATATTTCAGTCACACTCATCCCTCTGTGGTTATCACTAGAGGAATTTAATAATTCTTATGATTTGGAACGACCAGGGGTCAAGACCAGTTAGGAGTGATCACGTTCAGATACCAGATTTTAGCTATTATTTTAGCCAACATAAGTGGTATAATTGTAGAACAATACTCAAATAACTCCGGGAAAATACAACTCGAGCATCCTTGGGTTATTAATCAAGATGCTGAGAAGACGTATTATCTTAGGTGTCATACCGTACAGGACCATGTCACCTGTATAGTCTTAGCTAGTAAGTTAATTTCGTTATATCCTAGTGAAGATAAAATTACGGGTAACTTCTGAGATCTATTAATAGACTAATATTATATATTCCTATTGTATAACTGTTCAGTAACTAAATTAGGTATATCTATATTCCTCTTATTATAAGATTCATTTTGACCCATAGATTATTACTGTACGATTTACTGTTCTTAAATTATGTTCAGTTTATTGGTTATCGTCTCCCACGTTCACAGCCACTTTTTGGCTTGATCTTGTATAGAGGTTATTTCCTAATTTATGGTATGATGCGGTCTGTTTGGCTGGTATATAAGCCAAGCATGTTTGAAATCAATGATTCGCATGGCGGGAGCTGTTATTGATGTTCTGGACTCAACTGGACGGGCTAGGGAAGCAAAGGATCAATAAGGACGCTAGGCTGCTCATACCGGTCGAACGTCATTGGTTTAGTACGGTACAAGAGTTAATAAGTCGTATTTCGATCGGTGAATAAATCACGTGATAACTAGTCAACCTTAAAGTTACAACAAATGTACTGGGAGATGAGAATAAGAAAGCATTTTGAACCTATTAAGTTAGTAAGTGGTGTAGCGAACTTGGTGTTGTATAGAATTATGTTCGGTGTCATAAGTATATCATTAAAAATTTACAGCCAGTCTAAATAAGTGGGCCGACTTCATAGGCTTCTTTCACAGTTATTCAAAAAATGAAATAACTTGAAATAAGGTGACAGTAATGTGATTACAAATCACATTAAATGGAATATTATTCATGTCATATATGCTAACAAATACCAAGCTATTAGTTGTCTAAACAAAAGACAAAGAATACCACACTACATGAACAGCTAAAATATGAGATTACCTTGAAAATAATATCACCGCCGTCTTCTTGGACAGTGGGTCTTATTCGGGTATCCAGTAGTTCTTTTATCATTAATACTGTTTCATCTTCTTCATCACAGGTTTTATCTAAAATCGTGAAGCTAAATTTCTACATAACTACAAAACATGAGTAAAGTTATAGGGAACTGAAATTCGAGTTTTTTTACGGAAACTATTTAAAATAACCGTCCTTCGGTCATAAGTACTAAGATATTAGTAACACATAATTTCGTAAGGCTGAGAGATAAGTAACATTTGTCAACGTCAATGACCTTATAGTTTATAATTTTTCGGAGAGTACCATTTTAGCATTCGGAAGTATGTACAAAGAGAATAGTTGAAAGTTTACACATATTAAGTTCTGCTGAAAATGATATGATAATAGATCCTAAAGATTATCAGTTATTTGATAGCAACGAACCTGACTAGTTTACAAAGTTCAAATAGGAAGGATTTGTAATATTCACTGAACTCATCTTTGAAAAATTCTTCAGAATACATAGTATATAAACAGTAATTAATCTCCAAAAGTTATACCACCGATTGAGAGTACATGGACGACTGAATAAAAGCTTTTCTCCAATTAACAGAAAGAGCTGATGTAAAACTGAGATGTCATTTGACAGGTATATAAGAATAAGTTCGTGTAACATCACCTCCAAAATTGAAGGTTTCAAGAACATTTAGTAGCTGTATGGAACTCGTCAATGTAAAGAAGTAAAGCAGCAAGATCAGAGTTTCGTCGGATTTTTTTTACTTAAATCGTTGTCACAAATCAGGATTTCGAATAAGGAATTAATTCTATCTATATTTGTTGGTAGTGACAAGATAACTCGATTGTCTCCAGGAAACGCTTTGCGTAATTGGCTGGTTATAAAAAAAGGAACATCAAAAGCTCCTTCATTCGAAATTAGATGGTCACGAAAGGGTTAAATAAATATTGTCATCTAATCTGACGACAGGAAACAGTGTTCACATGTCAGTTACTACAATTCCATGTCAACTTTTTTAAACACTTACGTATGTGGATATGTTTATCTTTGGCGTTTCACGGACGGTTCCTCTATCATGAGGTCCTCACGTTGACGAAAATTATACAGATGAAACACTTCAATTACATGAAGACTATGAAAAAAACAATTAAATATTTAGTTATCTTAAGATTTTTTGTAAATTACAAGAAAAACACTTCAGAACTGCTTGACATCAAAATTAAGTGTTAGCAGTAGGTAAAATGGTGACTATAGGAGTAATAGATGAAGTGTGATTTGAAAACGCCTTTTATTTCAGTTTTGGACAAACACACAGAAGCAACCATAGGATGATAGTAAGAGTAATTATTAATGAACATTGAGAATTGTTAAAATAAGTGATGTCGTTAACCGTAAACCAGTTGAGTGCATACTGACGAGCAAGAGCCAAATGGAACTCCGAACCCCTGATAATTAACATGTTAGAACATTGAAAGTATGACAAACTAAAAGGTAATACTTAACGTTTGAAATATTTTAAAATTTGAACATCAACAAAAATGACAATCAAATTACTGTAAATCGCAGTATCTTACTTAAGTCTTGTGCTTTTTCTTCACTGACAACAGGTTGTCCAGAACTGTAGAAATCCATTATAGTGGCATATACATCAGGTTTTATTACAGCCCATTCGAAGTCGTCATTCTACCACTTGTCATATCGGAAAAATCATAAACCGACCTTAGTAATCGTGATGAAATCAGGACCAAAGAAGACTCGTTCAACGCCTTCGATTCGAAACAACTGTCTAAAGTTTTCAATAATTTAAAATAATTCGCACCTAGCCAACGGGGAAGACGTGGATTGTGTGCAAGATGGAAAGTCTCTAGTACCAGAACCTAGTACAGGTTTACCAGGAAAATATTTTAAGCTGTTAGGATTGGGAGTTTCTTGGACTTGAATAAACAATTTTCTAATCCCTGATAAAAATTTACAAGGTTGAATCGAGAGACCTACTTGGTTGGAATGATATCGACTGAGTGTTGATTAACCGACGAAAACTGTTGAGTACAAGCATATTTTTTCTAAAGCTTTAGTTGTTAACAGTAGTCAGTGTAGTAAACATCGACGGTGAAAACAATCGGATGAGTAATAAAACATGTAGACGATAAAATAACTCCCTCAAAACATTTTGTATCAATTTACTGAAATATGTAACTAAATAGAAGTCACTTATGAAACGTCTTCCTAAAATGAAAGTCTTCTGCTATTAAAAAAACTTTAGATTTAATCCCCAGTCACTTTAGTAGGTATTGCAAATCTGACTATTCAGTTCAAGCAAACTGGAAACGTATATTTATACACCTGTCCACAGGTGATAACTTATGATTATAAAAAATGTAGACCGAGATCAATAGCCGATATGTATACAAAAGAGGTATGCAAACTTCATGCTATTTAAGCACACAACATATTAGACGATTATAAGTGTGTGCAAGTTAAAACAATTCCACCTGCGCATGTCAGCGATTTCAGCCCGTCTCAACCGTCAGGTGGCTGACTACGTTTGGGGTCAAGTAGTTAGCATTTTTGAAAAGGATATCTCACAAAGCGTATGTTTTGAGAGCTACCACGCTATGTAGGTCGAGTAGTTACATGATTTGTCAAGGAAACTATAAAGGTCGACTTAGCTAAAAATCAGACTTGTCACACTTGACGGAAGGGTGGAAACGATAGTGAAATAAACAAGAAAGTAATTCAGTAGAGGAGAAGTTAAACTCGCTTATCTACCTAATAAGTAAGATCCTACTTTTCTTATTTAACGCCAATATACCAGCACTCCTTGGCACATATGAATTCCGTTTCCTTAAAGAAAGAAATGATATATGTTTATCAACCAAGGTATTTAACACCATAAATAAAATAGGTTATTTGATTTGTCCTTTTAACATTATGGACTACATGCACAAAACCGATTATTTAGAGTTATATTTTTGCACTCCCTTTTCAACGAAACGATCTAATCAACCCAGCTTAACATAGGCGAATAATAAATTGGCAAAAAAAGTTTTCAGGCCTTAAGTATAGGACTATCAACTCGTTTTAAGAGGTTAAAATACTTTAGTTCAGTTTACTAAGGAGCTCTAGTTAGCAAAAGAATCAATGGGAATTAGTAAGTAAATCATATCTGAACATATTTAGCGAAATAAAACATAAATGTGTACTTGAAAATAGTTGCATTGGTTAAATATTTTTGGATTCACAGATATTAATTGCGCACTGTAAGGACTTATTATCCAGTCAAACTGTGAAACCAGTTTGTTGAGAGCTCAAACGTAAACATCAACATTTTAATTACAAAAGTCTCTTAGAGAACTACATCCTTCAGTGAATAGTAATCAAATCGGGATAGTAATACCAAAGAAATCCAGCAGTTAGTACGCCTATTACTTCGAAAAACGGTACTACAGGCCAGTTTAAATCACTTGTTGGCAATAATACCGGCAACTCGGGAAATGTTAGCTATCTCCAAACTACAGTATCTTCTGTTCATGATTCTTTGCTACCAAAAAACCTCATAGTAGTAGGTTAACCAAAAGGCAGTATTTACTCTGTCTGCTACTGCCTTGTTTCTGGCCTTTGGTTGTTTGAAATTATTGAAGCTTTAAGTTAGATTGTCATGTAGGTACTAAGGCGGTCAGTATAAACACGAAAGGAGCTTTCCGGTAAACAAACTAATGTGCCGGAATGTAACATTTTCATTTACTTATTTGAACACAAAAAATATTTGTACGAAGAGCCACCGAATTCATATGCGCCACACAAGTCACTTGATTTGTGAGTGGACTGTGATACTGCTCGAGTGCCCAAACCGAAGCAGGTGGTTTTCTTAGAGGGACACAACCGGAACCTCCGACCTCAAGGTCTAGTCCACAAGGAAGTGGAGCAACGTAAGCAGATGCAATCCCATGGTAGACGGTGACCAACGATAGGTTCATGTGCCATTTGTTCCTTCAGGAACCTGCAGCCCATGTGCACAATTGGTTTGGACTCAAGGTTTTCCAACTCCTCTGGGTGGGCTCTCCGTGTCCACCAACCCGGTTAAGGCGCCGGATATTCGCTTTTCGTCCTCTCAATTTAGTAAACAACACTCTCGCCGCGAGAAGAAAGTTGGTAGGACTTCCCTAGCAGTGGCTGTATAGGCGTGACCATGTGGGCATTTCAAGGAGAGCTAACTCTCCCCACTCTCGGCCGTACAAAGGAATTTGAGAGGGTGAAGCCCCTAACATTGCTACTTTTGACTTACAACGGTGACATATAGAGCCGGAAAGCTAAGGTAGATAAATCTCCTGAAAGTGAGAAATCCTACGAACAGTGTTCAATATAATTTAATAGGTATTTAAGAAAGCATAAACACTGAAACATGGCGAAATGAACTGTGAAAAGGCAGCTGTTACGTAAATAGGCACGTTACACTAGTTAAAGAATGGTTTGACTAGCTAATTAACAATGACTTCAGGAATATTGACATACTACAAAAATGCACTGAAGTTTTGAGTAGTTTGCGATAAGACGTGTGCATAATTAGTGTTTAGACGCAGTTCGACTTTATCTGAAGCATGGCAAAAGCCATTATTTAACGTTAATTCAACTGCAAAATCAATGTGGAATAAGAGATATATCTTGCATTATTACTAAGTACCCAATCTCCGGAGATTGGGGTCCTATTTCGGGGTTTACCCAAAGTCAAATGGTCTTTCCCAGAGTTTGGGGAAATCCGTATACCTGAGGAAATTTTGGGGTTTTTGTACCATTTCCCCAAAAATTTATATAGCGGCTTCCCAAAAATTTCCCCAAAACGGATAAAATTTTCCGCAAAATTAGGAGGTAGGATAACACTACATTTAATCAGTCTTCAGTAATAAGGATAGTAGGTTGGTGAACCTGTATTAATCCTGACACATTGCTTTCCAGTGAAGGTCCAGCTTTTCCTTGAGAGTATTCACTGATGGGGCTGATACCACTTGTTCAGGTAAGGCGTTCCAACGATTGACTACTCGATAAGAAAGACGGGACCCCACTTTAAGTTTATTAGATCGTGGTTTATGAACCTTCTTGCTATGACCTCGGAGATTATTAGTGCTGGAGAGAGCAAAAAGATAAGTTATATTACCACTCAAATCATAATTAAAGATACGAAATGCCAGTATAAGGTCACCTCGTGTCCTACGATACGACAAGGGGAAAAGATTTAGGCGTTTTAAACGCTCATCGTAAGGGAGTCTAGAAAGACCCTTCACTAATTTCGTTCTTACACGCTGGACACGCTCAAGGGAAATAGTATCCTTTACCAGACACGGGCTATAGCTGCTTGGATACAGCAGTTAGCCCGTTGTTTGAATTATCTAACCATACTAGTGATCAGTTTAGCTTTCAAGAAGTAACTACGTAAAAATGCTCCCACACGTCATCACTTTTGACTAACTTCTTTTACTACATAGGTACCTAAATTTGTATGCATCGAGTAACCTGGGAATATCATCCACAGTGAATTTGAAAGTCCGCCAACGTTTCAACCCAACGTTGAGGAACGTGATGGTCTATTAATCTTGAGTTTTTCAAATGTGAAGGACGACCGAAACTAAACTAAAAGACTTAGTTGCACAAACCAAAAAAATTCAGGGCAACGCACCCTGTAAACTAGGCGCCACTATCTCAGAATTCCATTCGGTAGATATTGAATCTCAAATGTGATTATTATATTTTATTTATCTCAGTTGTCGTTCTCATACTTGCTGTCAACTGAATTTATGAATGGATGATGGTTTATTCCACGCATTAACTAATTCTCTGACTCGCTTTTTTTTCACAATAACTGTTTTAACATTTCTCCACACGATTTCAGAGTGCAGCATCCATTCTGGGTGGACTCCGAGCGTTCATTATTTGCCTCTCTGACAGAGTTGTATGACATACAGTTGGTATATTGGCTTCCAACTTATTGACAATATTGCGGTGAATTTCGCGCCAGTTCTATCGCATATGTCTGGAATAAACGTTACTTCAGGTGTGACTTCTTTTTCACAAGTTTCAATAATTCATTCGACTGCAGTATATGATCTGTCATAACTATAAATCTCTAATGTGTTTAAATTGTATTGGTTGTTTATTAAGGGTTTCAAAGGGAGTTGAGTACTTTGCAATTCTTTGAATGCGTTATAAGAGGTTAACATCTATATTTTTTGGAGTTGCTGTGAAAGTTTTTTGTAACTATACTTAACTATGAGGGATGTAACACTCTTTAGTGATGGTACTTTATAGTGAGATCAGTCCACTAACTCAGATGTAAATGCGGTTTGTTAGACAATGCTTATACGAGAGCAGGAGCGAGCGCGAATACATCATTAAATTTTTACAAATACGTCATCAGTTTATTACATATATTGCGTCCATTCAGTGGGCAGTATTTTCATATTTTTCTATTGCCAGAGGTAACTTAAGAGGTTTTTAGACTTGTAGCAGCAGTGGTTCTTAACTATATGGTCTCTGAAGCTGAATATATGTTAACTGAGAAGGTTGCCTCTCAAACTGTAACACTTTTTCTAAGTCGAATATGGTGAATGTTGGAACGATCCACCGCAATTACATACCACAACCATGCTGGCGTGGTCACTCGATGTAACCTCTACCTTTCCGTTTCAAATATATCATACTCTTCCTAGCTCAAATGTGTTCTTCGTATGGGTGATTGGCCGGTAGGGAAAGTCAGTGTAGACTGTGATGTGGCTTCCACTTGAGATCTTCTAGATTAGGTAGTCTTATCATGACAAAACTACAATTTCAAGATGAGGTCTCACTCTACAGACTCCATTGTGACCCTTAAACTCAAATAATTTTAATTATTGGCTTTCCAGCGTAACACTACGCTTACTTACTTACTTGTTTACTTACGCCTGTTGCTCCCAATGGAGCATGGGCCGTAGATCAGCATTCTCCAACCCACTCTGTCCTGGACCTTCTTTTCTAGTTCCATCCAATTCTTATTCATTTTTCACATGTCTATCTCCATTTGTCGGCGTAATGTGTTCTTTGGTCTTCCTCTTTTCCTGTGGCCTTGAGGATTCCACGTGAGGGCTTGTCTTGTGACGCAGTTGGTTGCTTTCGTCAATGTGTGTCCTATCCACTTCCAGCGCTTCTTCCTGATTTCTTCCTCCACTGGGATCTTGTTTCTTCTCTCCCATAGTAGGTTTTAGCTGATAGTGTCTGGCCAACCGATCCGAAGTATTTTTCATAGACAACTGTTAATAAACACTTGTATTTTCTGGATGATGGCTTTTGTTGTTCTCCAAGTTTGATGTCGGTTAACAGTAATTTTGAGTTCCAGATGTTCTTCATTTGTAAATATACTGCTCTTGCTTTTCCAATCCGCGCTTTCACATCTGCATCAGATCCACCGTGTTCATCAATGATGCTGCCCAAATATGTAAAGGTTTTTACATCTTCCAAATCTTCTCCGTCAATTGTGATTGGATTGGTGCATGCTGTGTTGTATCGGAGAATCTTTCTTTTCTCTTTGTGTATGTTGAGACCTACTGCTGCTGTACTGGTCGTCTTCTCCTGCATTTGTTGTTGCGTTTGCGATAGAAGGGCCAGATCGTCCGCGAAGTCTAGATCGTCCAACTGCATCCTAACTGTCCACTGTATCCCGTGCTCCCCCCAGATGTTGACGTCTTCATGATCCAGTTGATCACCAGGAGAAAGAAAAAGGGTGAGAGTAGGCAACCTTGCCTGATACCGGTCTTTACTTCGAATGAGTCTGTGAGCTGTTCTCCGTGCAGCATTTTGCAGTTTAATCCATCATAGGAGTTCCGTATGATTTGACTATTTTCTCAGGTACGCCGTAGCGTCGAAGAAGCTTCCATAGTATTTTCCTGTCCACTCTATCAAATGCTTTCTCGTAGTCATTGAAGTTGATTTAGAGTGATGAATTCCATTCAGTTGATTGTTCCGCAATGATCCGTAGTGTTGTGATTTGGTCTGTACACGACAGATCCTTACGGAATCCTGCCTGTTGGTCTCAAAGTTGGGCGTCTACGAAGTTCTTCATTCTGTTTAACAATACCCTGTTGAAGACTTTTCCCGGTTTTGAGAGAAGAGTGATGCCTCCATAGTTATCACAGTTGTTGAGATCGCCTTTCTTTGGTACTTGTTCCTCATCCCAAATCTTATTGAAGAGAATGTGGAGTATCTTTGCAGTTGCCGCTACGTCTGCTTTTAGTGCCTCTGCTGGAACGTTGTCTGGTTTTGCTGCTTTGCCATTCGATTTGTCTGATGGCCATGCTGATTTCTTCAAGTGTTGGTGGGCCAACATTGATTGGGAGGTCCGTGGGTGCTGCTTCGATGTTGTGTGGATTCAGTGGGGCTGGTCGATTCAAGAGTTCTTTGAAGTGTTCTACCCACCTGTTTCGTTGTTCTTCAATGTTAGTGATTACCTTGCCTTCCTTGCTTTTCACTGGTCGTTCTGGTTTACTGTGATTTCCAGAGAGTTTCTTTGTCGTGTTATACAGTTGTCTCATGTTTCCTTCTCTTGCAGCCTTTTCCGCCGTCATTAATAAATCTTCCACATATTTACGTTTGTCTGTTCTGATGTTCCTCCTCACTTGCTTGTTTACTTCTGTGTTTCCAGCTTGTGCCTTGGCTTTTTCTGCTCTTGTTCGGCTGGTATTGATATCTGCCTTCTTGTTCTACCTTTCTTGAATCTTATCCAGTGTATCAACAGTGATCCATTCCTTGTGATGGTGCTTCTTGTAGCCTAGTTGGTCAGTATCCGGAAGAAAATTCGTATTGAACTTCTGTGATACTATCCACCCTGTTGTCCAGTACTTCTTGAGTTTCAGTTTCATCTTGGCGACCAGCAAGTGATGATCTGATGTTATATCAGCTCCTCTCTTGGCTCTCACGTCTTCCATCGTCTCCCTGAACTTTTCGCTGATGCAGATATAGTCGATTTGGTTTTGCGCGGTGTGGTCCGGTCAAGTCCATGTGATTTTGCGAACGCGTTTATGTGGGATTATAGTTCCGCCTATGACCAGTTTATTGAAGGCACATAGGTTTGCAAATCTCTCACCATTTTCTTCCCTTTCTCGCAGTCTGTGTCGTCCCATGATGTCTTCATATCTGGTGTTGTCCATTCCAACCTTGGCACCTAGGTCTCTCATCAGAATGTTCAGGTCTTTTGTTGGGCACTTTTCGACGATTGACCGCATCCTATCGCAGAATCGATCTTTAACATCTTCATTGTAGTCGTTGGTGGGCGCATAGCATTGGACGACGTTCATTGTAATGCTCTCTTTCTTTGTTTTGAAGGAAGCTTTGATGATCCTTGGTCCATGAGGTTCCCATCCTATAAGTGCGTTTTGTGCTTGTTTGGACAGCATCAATGCAACTCCTTGTGAATGCGGTGCGTTTTCTTCATCATGGCCAGAGTATAACAGAAGCTCCCCTGAAGCTAATCGTTGTTGTCCAACTTGCGTCCAACGTGTTTCACTGATCTCGCGCACCTCCAGGTTATATTTCCTCATTTCTGCAGCAATTTGAAAGACTCTCTTGGTCTCCCACATTGTACGAGCATTCCATTAACCTAAATAAATGGTTACTTTGGTTGTCAGAAGGGGCATCAGCCTCGTGACTTCCGAAGGAACTCGGCTTCCACCATGAGGCGTCATAAATCTTCTAAATGAAGACCCTCCGACTCTCAGGGCAGAGTTTAAATGGTTTGGATAATTTTTTGTGGTTAGCACTTTTTTAGCGATTTATTTTTCTACGGGATGGGGTCACTAACCCCATGCCCAACCCTCCTCATTTATCCGGGCTTGGGACCGGCAGTAGCCCCCGGCGGGACTCCTGGCGGTGTCAAAGAATATTTGTGTTGAAATCTATCCAATGTGTATAGTACGATATTTAGTACTAGTAAAATTGTTTTGGTGATCAAGAATCACCAACTTAAATCTTATATGACCAGATGAATACAAGTGGAAGTGTGATATGTTGAATTCGTAATAGACGTGCAAATATGATCGTTGGGATTACCAGTTCATACAAATAGCACAACTACCTCAGCTCTGATGTAATTCGAGATTTCTGTTGTCCATTCTACATCTCCTTAGACCCATGAGGTGTCTGTTTTGTTGACTATTATATAAAGACTCTGATGATCTCGAATGTATTCATTAGTGTCAAAATAAATAAGCAAAATTGGAACAGACCCACATAACTCCTGAAATTGTATTTGCTCAACATGTCAGTTGTTCGTACTTGTGGAGGTTAATTTCTTTATAGCTGATTCAAATAAATAGTTTCTCGTTGACTGTGTATCTACGCAAGCCAAATCTCCTTGTCATATTATGAGTCCACTCGAGATCGTTCAAAAGCCAGAACGCCAGTTGTAGGGATACTACGTTGTTTATAATTAGTAGAAATCCACAATCAACACAGGAAGCGAGCACAGAAGGAACTGAATGAGAGTGAGTGTAGAGAGCAAAGAAAAACGGACCGGAGAAGCCATGTGGGCCAAATCAGTTTGACTCAACATTTATAGTCAAACAAAAGTACGTTACAAACATGTTGTAAGTAAAATAGGTAATCCACGCATACACTTACACAAAAAGGTCAAGGTTGATTAGCGAATAATTATCAAGGTTCAAGTGTTACTCAAGAAGAATGAACAAATTGGCTTGTCCGGAAGTTAGAATATACTATGTGGGCTTCACATAGCGACCGACACTTCATACTTGATTCATTGGTATAGACAACTCGAACCGTAGATTTTCAAACACAGTTCGTCACAATCCCTGAGGCCAATCAAAGATCATTTCCACGATGATACTTAACTCTCATGGACACTAAACACCCTACATTCTGACGTTTAATCCATCTCTCTAATACTTTCAGAGTCTCATTCGTTGTAGAATGTTCACTTTTCCTATATTTCAGCAGAAATGGAATTATTAGCAGTTTTTAATATCCCAACAAAATTTTCT